AGAGTGGACGCCGTGTGCCTGTTGCAGTGAAGACCATGCAAGACAATCTCTGCATGGAGAAGCGTGTAGAGTTCCTTCGAGAAGCGGCCATCATGTGCCAGTTCAGACATCGCTACATTGTCTACATGTATGGCGTAGTGACATCTACGCTGGCAAAAGACGTATGTATGGTGCACAATTGTGTTAAAGGGGAACTCCGGTCCAAAATCACCCCCATTTTTTATTGCGGAATCCATTAGAGTATGTCGTAAGTGGTAGAATGGCGAAAACCGGAAGCTTCTACGACAAGGATAACATACCTAAATTACCAATTGCAATTTTCCATATTTGGCACGAGGGGGCCCCCTCCCACCCTGTGACGTAAAACGTTCTCAGCCCGGTCCACTCAGATGAAATTTTCAAATAATTGAAGCAAGAATGAAAAGTCCTTGGCCATTGTTGAAGTGCTTGTTGTTCTGTGCCATGCCCGATTTATTGTCACGACTCGCTGCTGCGTCTCTGGATGCAACAATGTCACGAAGAAAGAGGCGCCTGCGGGCTGTCGTAGCATGGCTTTCCTCTGGCTGACGCGAACCTGACGACAGCTTGGCTATGGAGAGTATGTTGGAAGGATTTTTCTCCGACGAAAAATAATCGTGTCTGCACTGAGCATTTCACTGAGATGTGCTATGAAAGAGATTTCCAACAAGAGTTTGCACAAAGCATTGGTGGCTATAAGCAGAAGCAGCAGCGACGCTTGAAGCCAGGGTCTCTGCCATCCTGAAACTTGGCGGTGCATGTCATACTAATAGTTAGTAGCTCCTCTACCTCTGCTGCCAGCAAAAGCAGACCATCTTTGATTTACTTCCAGGAACGTGAGCACGATGAGGTAAGTGAACGGCATGATTTTGTGCCGTCCAGAACGTAGCTCTAAACGACTACAGTCCTACTCAAAGTCCTCTACTCAAAATCCTAGTCAGTGAAGTCGAGAATTGATGTAATGTACATGGAACGTTATCATGTGTGTTATTTCGGTTCTCTTTATCTGTAAGTTTCCATTGCGTTACTTTCCGGTTGCAGCTACACTGCCACAAATACAAGGTACAGTATGATTTGTAGTCTGGAAAATTTCCATGCTGTCATACTGAAGTGGGCACCAAAACGTGTCCACTTTTCGTACAATGGCATGAGAGCACGGGTACAGTCGGCATGTCTGTCCCACAATGCCAATATAGGGAGAGCGCACGCCAAAACCAAGGAGGGTGTGCTCAGGTACAGGCTGGAATACAACAAGAGCACAAAGTGGCCAAGAAGCTGCACGACAATGTCCTGCAACTTCTTGAAGGACCTGTTGAACGATGTGCATACAACCATTCTCGGCATTCGCAACGGCACACGGCACCGGCACAACCCCATGCTCCCGAACACAGTACAGTCTTGTGCCATTGTATCTGTCAACTTTACCAGATTGTTCGTGCAGCTGCATTGGTGCAAAGCATGCGCCCACCCGAAAACACAAATATTGCCCGAGTCAAGAATAGTTATAAATCGTGTCTGTCAACTGTTTTCTACATTCTGCATGCACATGTACCAATGATTATGTGAATGTCAACCAGGCCAAGAAGCATTATCATCATCATCATCATGTCCAACTGCTTCCTCAAAGCCCCAGTGCGCATCTGCATTGGCTTCTGGTACAGCTGCTTTATCTTCGATACCACGCAAGACGGTATCACACGCCGCTGCTTGCGTCCAAAGTATCCATGGGTGAACCATGTGTATTGTCTATACGCCACATGTCTCCAAATCCTGCACAAAACAGTTGGAGAGATGTAGATACACATACCACGAGTGTCTTCATGATTGTGTAAAAGTAAATAGTTTCAGTGTAAATAGTTTCGGATTCGAGTTAATAATTCTATGGGCTACTATACTAAAGACACTTTGGCCTTTTTTCAAATTTACATCACTTTTACACACAGTTGAAACACTTACAGTGCTAGGAATAGTATGAATGAAAGACATCGTTGTACCAGTATAATTATATTGGCATGGGTGCAATAGAACTTCATGATTGTGTGATGGAAGTTGGTGAATTTGAATACTGTACACAAAATCATTGCACAACACTTCCCATCTACTTTGTACCGGTACATGAAACATGGAAAGAAAGGAAATAATGAAACCGATTCAGTGAATCCTCACCTGTTTGACCACGGTCCACACCTTGCCCGAAAGTCTTCGAAGGAAAGCAATGCCACCTCGAGCACTGATTTTTGCAGGCAAACAACAGCAAACTCTGAGTGCTGCGTGACGCACTGCAGCCCTTCCTGCTCGCCGCGTTTATTGAAAGCTGCAGGAACCTCCCAGCAACAAGTCGACTCGACCTCGCTCCACATCATGCTGCATTGTCCGCAACGGCATCAAGCAGTGCTTCTCACGCGAGCACTTGCAACCAAAGCGTTCTCTTCACGTTCATCTGTTTTGTAGTCTCAGAAATATTACTTGAAGACAGTTTCGCAGACGCTGATGCGCGCTTCGGCTCGAACCTAAAAGGCCTCGGTGTTGTTGAATCCGAAGTGGCGTCCACCTCCACACCTCCCGTGGTCTCCTCTTCCTCCAACATGATGATCGAATGAATACTAGTACAAGGGTTATTGATTGAAGAAAAAACAGTGAATACCTTTTTCAAAATTTCTGCAGGTCTACCATTTGAATAAAAAAAATTGGAGGTCACTGAGAACGTTTTACGTCACAGGGTGGGCGGGGGCCCCCTCGTGCCAAATATGGAAAATTGCAATTGGTAATTTAGGTATGTTATCCTTGTCGTAGAAGCTTCCGGTTTTCGCCATTCTACCACTTACGACATACTCTAATGGATTCCGCAATAAAAAATGGGGGTGAATTTGGACCGGAGTTCCCCTTTAATTGGTCTCTTTGCTCAACTGGTCAAGGTTTAGTGTCCTACCAGTACCGAAAGGGGCTGATCAATTTCCTTCCCCGAATTGCATGTGATTGATATTTAAGCCAGTGAACATCCCTACTGCATTTGGTGTAGTTCCCAAAACAAGCTGTGGAGATCTAATGTTTTCTCATGTGTAAAACGTTGGAATCACAGGCGCAACTAAAAAAATGGGACTTTTTATGGGGCATGGTTAGGACCTCCCTGAAACCCTCTAGACATCTTCTTATCAATTTGTGCAAATCCAAAACCATTTTCCAATTGATTCTTGGGATACAACCAAACTCCTCGAATTGCACGAGAACATTGTCAACCCAGCAAGAGAGAACAAAAGATCTGCATCCTAACCCCCCCCCCCCCCATCTTCCCAAAGAATTGCTGATAACAGTAGTACTAGTAGTGCTATTCCGTTCTGTTCTGCTCTGTTCTTTCCCCCGTCATCTAGACTATGCTTGTACTGGAGCTCTTGGACCCGAGGAATCTCCGCGAATACCTGCAGGGACTAGCCAGCAAGTATGTTGTCGTGCGTCCACCTTACCCTGCTTTGCTGTGCATTTCAAATCAATAGTTTGATGACGGACAATGTCAGGTGAAGATCACCGCAATGGCTATGCATTAATTTTCCACACATGTGAAGTGTTCACAAGTTCAGCATGTTGGCAAGGTTCAATTTATCGAGTCCGTTGATCATCTGTGTGTACATCGGCCGTCTATAATGATTTGTGATTCAGTCTCGCCATATGCTGAGAAGAGAAAATGGATTGGCGACGAACTCGGCCATTACATCAACACCAGTCACTCCACCACTTCCCTGTGGAATGGGTCGGCCGGTAGTGCAATGTGGAGTGGTGGAGCGACTAGTAATATCTTACTGTATGCTATTCCACCCTTGATGTGTGTTTGTGTGTGTGTGTGTGTGTGTGTGTGTGTGTGTGTGTGTGTGTATGTATGTGTGTGTGTTTGTGTGCGTGTGTGTGTGTTTGTGTTGCAGGTCAGTTACTCGAGACCTTGGCCAGCAGTTTCTTAGGTTTAGTGGCGAAATTGCCGAGGGCATGGCGTATCTAGCGGCCAAGTCATTTGTGCACCGGGTAAGATGCTAGTGGCACACTCCATGTATGAATTGATACTGCATGACGTGCGCAATGATCAGTGCATTCAGGCTGTCCAAACCCTGCCACCACGGCGAAGTGGGACGCCCCGCCCATACACAATGTATACAAAGATAATTGTATCCCTTATAGCTTGAAGGTGCACAGTCAGGGTCACTTGCAGTTGCTCAAAAGCGTGCTCAATGCACCAGAGTGCAGAACGGTATACACGAATACAGGAGACAGGAGGCTGATTTGTTGTAAGTTTGAAAGTTTTCATGCACTGAGCGATAATCAGATATCAGTGACTATTTGCCCGTGTGACTGAATCCTTGGGCTGGATGGTATGTTGCACCTTGGTCTCAGTCTATTTGGGCTGTTGACTGGTCTACTAAACCACAGCCATGAACCCATCTATTTATGATGCTGCACAAAGTTTTTTTCCTGTGCTGCCACATCAGCAGTGGGGTGAAGGTACTTTTAGTGGAGGCCGGTACACAAGGCGGTTGTGATGTTAGACATATCTCTAAGCTGCTCTGTACGTGTTGCCGTTTGTTTCTTTGTACGTTCACAGGACTTGGCTGCAAGGAACATTCTCAGGGGTATGGATGGTACTTGCAAGGTAACTGGTAGCATGACTGCTTTACTACCCTTTCCGCTGTGATGTACACTGCCGCTGGTATTGCGTGTCCATTCTGTGCTGATCTTGTTGTGGAGTAGTGCATCCTTTCTGTGCTGTTGTTCATAGTACTGCATATACCAGTGAGTGTGATGTACTTGTATCAGCCATGGTGATATAGCTATAGGATCACCGGCATGGGTTTTGCCTTTGTCTGACATACCGTTTTGGGTGTTGTGCAGGAAAAACAGCTGGATAACCAGCACACTTAGATTTTCTTGTGTTCATGAGCCCTACTTCTGCATAGCACTTGTGTGCAAGGTGTGTACTTTGCTGACAGGAATGATGGACCTATCGCATTGTTTGCCTGTAGATTTCCGACTTTGGACTGTCCTGCAACATCAGTGATGTGCGCTGCTACACTGGAAATGGGCGCCTCCTTCCGATCCGCTGGAGCGCACCAGAGGTAAGGACTGAGGAGTCTATTTTTAAAAAGTATTATTATTATTATTACCGCAAGCATCAAAGACCAACGCCGAGCTATTATGGCGCAGGGCTGGACGCCTTTGAAGTTTAGGCAGTAAGCACCATCATTATCATGATTGACTTGCCAGATTTACACTCATTATCTATTTGTTGTAGGGCTATCACAGGGCACAGATACATAGTATGATTCAGTCCTATATCCAAACGTACCATATGGTGCAGTGGTATGTGCTTCGATTTCCATTCGAGAGGTTGCGGGTTCGATTCCCGACTATTATGGTCACACCCGTCTTTCTTCTCTTTCTCAGGCTCCTCCTGACTTTTTTCATTCTCCTGGGTGGTTACCAACAGCCAGTGCATTCCGGCGTATGTGGTGTGATGTGTGTGCGGGAAAAACGGAAAAGACCAAAATGTAGGGATTCACTGGCCAGAAAAAAAAACCACTTCATAGCTGTGTGGTGTAGACCAGGCTGAATAATGACGGTCAATTCTTCAGCCTTGCAAGCTGTTGAATGGTGCAATCCCAGCACAAGTTGCTATGGCTTCTGCTGTAGCACCGCTAACATCGCCTCTAGCGATGGGGCGTCAAAAGGTTAAAAAAAAAAGGTCCGAAATGAAGCTATGTCATCAAGCTAGAATACTCTGTAGGGCTTTGGAGAATGGTTGGCCAGGATAATTACTATCATTGTTACGTTACACTTACATGCATACTAAATGACGTTATTAACATAGAAAAGATTAGCTAGCGTGTCAAAAAACTGGTGCTCGAAGTTCCTTCTCTCTGTTAAACTCTTATCATGACTCATGTGTTAACAATATCCTCACCAGACAGAAAAACTATGCACTTGGCTCACCATCCGAGTTCAGCTTGTACTCTGTCCTACTATTATGATATGCGGGATGACCATGGTGTGTTGAGAAGTACTCTCGGCTCACGTCATACCCTTGAGGCACAACCATGCGTTTTGCGGTCGTATGCTTCGCATCAACAACGATCAGTATGATCTTCTCATCTGGTATCACAATCTTGCGCAAGTTCTCCACTACCTTCACGGACGAGAGTTTTATACTCGACACAGCTGCATGAAGGAATTCAGTACCTGCGGATGTGTCGCTTTGCTGATGGTGTGCTGTGGCAACTTGTCGACGTCGGCTGGAGAGCGCAGTTATGTTGTTACGGTTGATGAGAATGCTGTACAGGGCCGAATGCTGCTGCTTACCACTCTATTTAGTTGTCCACTCCATACCAAAGGTATACATGTGTACAATGCTGTCATTCATGCACCCTGTGTTCTCCGCTGTGCTTCTACACTATAGACCCTATCAGCCAACAAGTTCTCAACGGCCAGTGATGTATGGAGCTACGGCATTCTGCTGTATGAGATCTGGTCCGCTGGAAAGAGGCCGTATCACCTGTGGAGCAACGAGAAGGTAAAGGAAAATCAGCTCTGTTGTTGATGCTATGTTTACTCTGAGCAGCACGCCTCCCATTGGACCTCAGACCTGCCTATCGCGGAAGCGATGATAGCGAACAGCTATGTTAGACATAGTAACTTGTGCTGGGATTTTACTATTCAACAGCTTGCAAGGCTGATGAATTGACCTCCACTAATTTTAGCCTGGTATCCACCACACAGCTCATTGAAGTGGCTTTTTATGGCCAGTCACAATCTCCATTTTCAATTTTTTCATTTTTTTCCATTTTTGTCATGTTGTTTTCTACACACACGCGCCACACCACACCACACCACACCACACCACACCACACCACACCACACCACATACTCCGGCATACACGGGCTGTTAGTCACCACCCAGGAGAATGAAAGAAGAGCTAGGAGAATGAGAAAGAGAATAAAGACGTCCCATTGGACACACACACACACACACACACACACACACCACATGCAGCACTATAACTGATCCGGTTGCTCCACGAGACTGACGTATGCTTCTAAACAGGATTTCACACTGTCTGATTCCTATGGAAGAATAATGAATGTACAACTTTCCTGAGAAGTGTGTTGGCCACATTTGGTTTTAGTCCAACGTTAGTACCTCCGAATGAACGCAGCTAGCAATTACCGTATTTTCGGGTTTAAGCCGCACCCAGATCTTTTGTCATGAAATAGAGACATCCACCCTGTGTATCACGATTCATTTGACCATCGTAGTATGAGCTGCTGAGATTTTATTGGGCGAATTATGAGTGTGTAAGTGCGGCTTATACTCCGGAAAATACGGCACGTCCAAGTGAACGCAGTTGGCAAACATGTGATAAGAATAAGAGAAACAATGCCTTTGACGGTATTCAGGTGAGCTGATTTCTACTGGATGACATGCTGAGCAAGCATAAATATCTCCATCATTCCACCTAGGGAAGAATATCTGATACTGAGGTTTTATATCCCACCGCGCTTTCTATTTGATTACTGTGAGCTCAGGTAGTGGAGGAGGTTCAGAGCGGGTACCGCCTGCCCAAACCAGTGTACTGTCCAGACGATGTGTACGAGGTCATGACGGATAGCTGGTAAGGGACCGTACATGTACACTGTCATATACCTCTAGCACATTGTTTCATTCATGCAGAGTGTGACATCATTCATGCAGAGTGTGAACTGTGTAGCTTAGTGTTCGGCTCCACATTGCGTTACTGAAGTTGCTAGCATCCTTACGTGCGGGTAGGGGTTTGATCGGGTAACGAGTTCGGGTATCTCTACCTAGGTAGCACGGGTGCCCTATGATATCGGGTATTTTTGATATTGCACGAGTACACTGGCATGCAGCATTGCATGAGCGAGATTTCCACAATGCGTTCGTACCAGGGAGTAGTTCACTACTCCCTGGTTTGTACGGTGAGTGTGCACTTGTGCCACATAGAAAAGTGCCGCCGTGACAGTAGCCTCATAGCCATACTTCTTGCAGACATCGTTTCAAAAACATACTTCGAAGTACTTCGATAACCCGATCGGTTTCTCAGGTGCAACCTGCTAACGTACTCCAATCACGGGTAGCACGGGTGCCCTACTACCCGATAACATCTCTAATACGTGTCAGTGTGGCATTATGTCACTTACGTGCGTCACTGTACAGGAATAAGAATCGCCACCATCGCCCAACATTCCGCGCCATCTCCCACCAGTTGGGTATCACAGACATGACCAAAGTTGCCTGGGCTACTGAAGCAGTAGCGGCCACAGCAGCACAGGACCAAAGCCTGCAGTACTGCCTGCCGTTTGAACTGGCCCTGCCTGCCGTTTGAACTGGCCCTGCCGACCTATCCTAGTTCCGTGTACAGTGATCAATCTGATCATGCATGAAGAGGTTTTAGCCATGGCTTTGAACTAATTACTTACAGCCGCCTGAACATGGTGCCTCTTCAGTATAATGTGTATAGGACAGGGATAGCAGAGATGTGCCTTGTGCTTTTGGCCATAATTTATGCATAGCAGAGATGTGCCCGTTGTACTTTTGGGTGTGATTTCTGTATAGCAGAGGACTCCTATAGTAATCCGGCCTCTGTCCACTGGATGATTTTTGACAAGTTTTTGATTCTTGAGAATTCCCTTGACCTGATAGCATGCCCTTTACACCTTATCATATCCCTACTACACTGTGTGCGCACAGTCCTCTGGGCTACTATTTGCACATGTAGCAGAACCTTTCCTCAACTCTGTGCCCTCATTTCCCCCTTTCTGCAGGTCGCTTTTCTAAATTGGAAAAATAATTGGTGCTACAAAGTCCCCGCTCTAAGTCACTGCTAGCATGCTGTAACTTTTTCATACACACAGGTGGTAATCACAATCTTGTACTCTTTCCAGCTTGTCTTGTTTCCTCTGCATGGTGGCGCAGACGCAGACGGGGATGTACTGGGTCAGGACTCAGGTGATCAATGACGCTTGGCACCGGTGCAGTATACACATGTACTCATGATGTAGGCCTACATGTGTATACTGGCCATAGCCGGAAGTCCTATGTGCAGCCATACTGCCTACTGGTTTCGCTTAGGACTGTGGCCCTTGTGGGAGTAGTCAAACGAGTACAGTCAGACCTCGCTTATCCGGTCCTCGTTTATCCGGATCCCTCGCCATCCGGTAGAAAATCGTTGGTTACCGATTTACAGCATGTGCCATGCACACCTACAGTATGTGTGTTCGATTATCCGGTTCCCTCGCCTATCCGGATATTTTTGTGGAAAACGGATGTGTGCGGTTATGCGAGGCCTGGCTGTACTAGTAACTATGTACATGGCATTTGGAGAACTACAGTACAGCAGTCATCAGTCTGACATCTTTATGTTCGTTACCATTTTTGGAAACGTGTCTGGGCAAGATATCGGTATTTGTCCGCTGACTTCATCATAGAACTCAGCATTTCCATGTACTGTATTGCTTCATCGAGTTCCAGCTGAGCACTTCTACACTATAATTATCCGATATGTGTATTTCGAGGTAAACGGATGATTGCAGCGGATAGGATATGTGTCTAAGAAATTGAAACAATGGTCAAAAGCGACAATACAACACCTTTTTCACTTTTGGTCGGCTCTTCGTTATCCGCGGTTGTACAATCATGTAGACACAATGCCATGGTCCATGCACACAAATTCAATGTGGATTCTTAGTATTCTCCAACAAATACAAGATCTAGATGGACCACGGGCATGCCTAGCGCGCCTGTCACATGACAATTGTAAGTCATCCATGGCCAAGCCATGATGAGTCACTGGTCATGACATGTGTCGTATCTAGTTACAAATAATGTTTCAAGTTCAAGTCAGGATTCAGGAACACTGTACTGCTAGTCTGCAGCCTGCAGGAACGCTACAACTAACTAATACTTAGTACAATACTAGTACAAGCAGCTGGTGTCGCCTTGGGGCTCCAGCCAATCCGAGATCCTGTCAAAGTCGGAAAGCTAAGCCAGGGCGAGGGGAATTATTTCACTCATTCAGCGTCAGATTGATTGGTGGGCATTGGCATATCACGCTATCTAGGATGTCTCAGTTTGAAAGGACCTTGGAAATACCTGGTAAAGCGGCTGAATGCCCGTTCCTGGTCAGTACAGGCCGTCGCTTGACAGCTCACTGACAGAGACTTCGGTGGTAATAATACCGGGCGGTGAATGAGGAAAACAGCGACGCGATATGAACTGAACGGGCAAGTGCAGACCTGCCGGCTACGCTTGCCGATCACGGATACATTCGAAGGACCCGGCGTTGTGGAGAGGAGCGCAACCTTTTGCTCGCAAACTGAGCCTAAAAAACAAAGGGCTTCGAGAGGTTTTTCTTGGACAGGAAGGAGAGGCAAACGCCTGCCGAAGAAGAAGAGATGATGAGGAGTTCAGTGGCTTGTTGGCAGCTTTGCCTTGTTCTAGGTAAGAAGATGTGGCATGCACGAATGGCACTCAGATCCCTAACGTATTTTCATCTGTACGCGGATGATTAGGTGTTTGGCCTGGGGAACTACGCGAAAAGGCAGCCCTAGCCCTAGCCCTGGCTCCGGTCCGCACTGGCGGCAGCATGCAATGCATGGTGCAGGTGTTACTACCACTGTATATTTAGGTGACCCTGAGTGGGCAGTCTAGGCTATGGTGGATGAGTTTGAAATCTAAGCAAACATCTATCCTACAGTACAAGGGGTTAAATAAATAAATTTTAAATTTCACGGTTCGCGTGAGACTCGGCTGGAAGCCGAGTTTCAAGTTCCGCATCCGCCGTGGGAACGCCACCACCCTCTAGGATCAAAGGCGCAGATGCAGCGCCTAAACGGTGGGAGGTGAGTAGATCAGACCCACCACCAAGTGGTCAAAGACCGAAATCCCATTAGCTGCATCCATGTTACCCTCGTGCCAGGCCACGAGTTCCCAATTAACTGTGGGTCGCAGCACGGCTGGAAAAATTCCTTCCGCTTCCAAGCAGGACTTGAACCTGGTACCCTCTGTTTCTCATGACTCAATCATGGTCTTAGACCATCCCACTATGCCTGCCTGTACAAGGGGTTAGGTAGCTATTAAATTTTATGACGCATTCCCGGAATATTGCCACGTACGGTGCTGCTCAGTGAGATCGGATCGCGCGAGTCGAGTTTGCGCCCTGCACCAGTTCACCATTCCAGTGTTTGCAGGACTGGGGCTGCACATCACCTGGTGTGGCATTGACTTCCTTGATCGGATGTCATTGAGCATCACTGCACTTCTGACTCAATTATTTGCAGAAAAACTTGTGAATGTTGTCAGTACACGACTCCTGTCTTATCTCGAGTAATAGGCAGTTGGGTTTTGTGGAGTACCCTTCATGTATTCGGCTGAAAATGCATCAGGAAAATGGCCAATCCATGATGTCCAGTCGGCGTTGCGCTCGCCAGAGAATTTCTCTGGCGTGGCCCATGCCCGCATCTGCTGTTGTTGACGTGCTGGTTGTTGCGCTGGGCCTAGTGGTGGTGGTGGAGGGGGTGGAGGAGCGCCACCTTGCTGAGCCATCTCTACACGATCAGTCTTCCACAAATAATTTGGTACGCGTGCTCTCACAAGACGTGGAATTCGAATTCGCTGCCACCACGTGTAACCTTGGCCTGTGGTTACAATTACATTCACAGGAGCATAAACTCCCCAGCCCCCAGCCAGGCATCAGTTCCAACCATAACAAGACGTTGAGATCAAAACTGCAACTCTCAAGTCCAAAACATTCTCCAGAAGCAAAAGGAAAACCAGCATCATAACAGAGCGAGCCAACGAAAGGATACGCATTCGTGTGTGCCTGTGAGTGTGTACGAATGATGTATGCATACATGTCATGAAGTAGAGTCACATTCATAGCTATGATTAAGAGTGGAAATATTACTACGCCAAACGGAACATGTTACATATACAAACTGTTTTCTGAGTTTACCGCTTTAAGTTACAGGCCATAACTTCGCTTCAACTCACTTTGGTGGAAGGTAGTGCTGGTTGGATTTCATCCCGCGAAGGCCTGCAGTGTGCTCTTGAGCACATTAAAATGCGCAGCGGAAAAATTCCGCTGGCAGAAAACTCCAATCAGCGCTGCAAACGAGCGCCACGAGCCTTCTATGCAACGGAACTAATGCTTCAATTGTGTTCTTATGTTGCAGCATTTGCGGTGTTTGTTAGCAATGGCCAGTCGGTTGTGCACGTTGGCTGCTTCAAAGTGCGAAGCACAGACTTTGTACTAGGTCAGCAAGCTCAGAGCAATGCTGCAACCCCTTCCAGGTATGATGTTGGCTGCTTTCAACATGTCGAATTCCATGTTATTATAAGGTGTGAAGGGGAGTTCAGTAAGGATGGAAGTCTTGACTTGAGAACTCGGTGAATACTATTCGGGGCATTGAGTGAAGGGTACCCATTTCAGTTGGTCCAGCAAAGATGCATTATAAAATACTGATCAGTTGGAATCTGTTCTGAGCCATGATGATTAAAATGTCTGTGTAAGAGTTGTCTTTGGGAAATGCATGGGCCTAAGAAATTGTACAGGGTAAGCGGGGGTAGGGGGTAGCGTGAATATGCATATATGTAGATAAAGCCGAGACCCTATGGTCGGTCAAGCTGCCCCTGCCTCTCCCCCACACCTGCCATTCCATATGTCTCATCGCTGCCTTTCTGCTTTGTGCCGTGAAATGGTGTGTATTTTTTTTGTAAAAATTAAATAAATCGAAGGATACTGTTTTGATTTTGCTTTCTTGCTGCTGGTGTTCATAGATGTGTCAAGGCATGTGCACTGTTGCCGACCAGTGGATTTGCATTGCTGGCTAACAACGAGTGTCGATGCTCGCCAAGCCTGCACGCTCCCATTGTGTCCGTGTCTGATGCAAGGTGCGACAGAGTTTGTGGCTCCGGTTCTCGCGGATACAAATGTGGCAGTCGATCTGATGATTCCCTTCATAGCGTGTATTCAATCCCGGCTGGTAAGTTGTGGAATTATCTTAGGCAGTTCTCGAACGGCTAGCCAGCCGATCCGTAATGTGTGTCTGATTCTCAGTGGAAATAGTACCATGCCGGTATATTTTGCCTATGGTTTAGTAAAGGGCCGACATCGCTACCGTTTGTGCACAGTAAGTGTATGTTGGCAACAGCAACCCGCGGTCTATCACACACTATTGCATTACTCCGTGATTCCGCCATACTTCCTGCCATTTCTATTCACTGCCAGGGACGATTGTTGGGACGTAGGTATTCCTATTGTAATTAAAGACAGCCAAAGAATCATTGATATCCTTGGATTTTCTGCTCGGTCTTTTTTATTTTTGAACGACAGGACCACTGAGGGAGGACTCTGAGGCCTATCTTGGCTGCTTCGAGGAGTCTTCGTCTGGGGATTCAAGAATTGAAGAGTTTGAGATTCAACTCACAAGAAGTGATACTTTGAACACGCAGTGCGTGACACACTGTGAAGGCAGGAGTATGCCGTTTGCCGCCGTGTCCAGGCAGAGTTCCTCCTCGTCCGGAAGCCTGAATAATATCTTTGGCATCTTCGCCAGCACCATCTACTGTCGTTGCGGCCGTGCCTATGGGTCTTTGCGACGTGTCTCCGACTCTAAGTGCCCCGGAGCAAGCGCCGGTAGACCGTGTCGGTCATTTGACTGCTTTATATCACAGTATGCAGAGCAGGGGTACTACTCGGTCTTCACAATGGTCGATCACCCACCTAGTGGTAAGCCAAAGTAATGTCTAGCCATCACTGCCCTATAGCGAAGGTCCCTGGTTCGAGTCTAGGTGGTAAAATTGTTTTTTTTTCCTCAGACCTTTTCCCTTCTCAACACCTTCAACAACAGATGAATAACAATGTCAAATACCTACATAATACTATATTATTGTTGTGTATGGGAATATTAGTAGCTCTCTATACATGTACCAGTACCAGGTACCAGTACTGGCTGGAAAACTACTGCATCTTCTTTTCAGGTCTGGGAAATTGTGTAATGACTAGCTGAGAACTGGAGTACTTCTCAACAATTCAAGTGATATTGGCAGGACATAGCTTGGTTATGCAGTATGCACCCTCTCCATTGATTCCAACACATCCCTAGACTGGCATGTATGTTTTCAGATCTGCTGAAATAGGAAACGCAGTACCAAAGATGAGAGAAGTGGACACTCTGAAAGATGTTCTCATCTGTTGTTTGTTTGCAATTTCTGCCACCAGTTGTTCACTGTGGCAATCCCAGTCCTGGCGCAGTGGACCACGCTGTAACCAAGATCGGTGTCGATCACTACCACCATGACACCGTGCGCTATGAATGCAAGCGCGGCTATCACGTGAGAGGACACGACTGCACGGTGCAGAACAAGACCATCACGTGCCTGGGCACGGGAAACTGGAGCTCAACGCCGCCAGACTGTGTTCGTAAGTCCTTGGTAGTCAGCACTCACGTGATCAGAAAGCTGTGACAGAAAACAGCAACATGCTCAGCAAATTTGTTGTCGTGAGAAAAATCATAAATGCAGACCACGACTGGCAAGAGTGTCATTCACACAGGTCTACAGGTGTACAGGTCTACAGGCTTGGCTGCACATTCTGGCGTAGAAAAAAAGACTCCCATATATCTTTGTGAACTCAACGATGCAACATTTTGAAGAAAAAGTCTCTTTGATACGCACCCTGTCTCACAGTCCGAATCATAAACGGACGGACCATCACCTTTGCCACAGTGTTGGAAGCCTGCATGTCATGATTGCTACTTTCTGTATCTTCTGCCTGTGCAGCTTGCGCCTGTGACCGACTGCCCACTCCACCGGGCGTCATTGCCCAGCAAGTTGGCAGCACCTATGGCCTGATGTTCGTTGATTCTGTCATATCGTTCACTTGCCCCCTGGGCTCGGAACTGGTTGTTCACGGTATGTTTTATGGCAACGTCGAATACAATGTAACCTGCGGAGTCGATGGTACTTGGTCCGGACCACCTCCTCAGTGCAGAAGTAAGTCCATTCTAAAATCCCTGTCACTGCTGATGTGAATGAAGTGAAGTTATTCTAAAGCTGATACGACTTTCGTATGCATTCCTCCACGTAAACCAAATTTGAAGGATCGGTCAGAGATCGAAGTGCTAGAACTGCCTAGAAGTACAGTCTTTGTCCAGCAGAACATGCCAGCTGTTTTTCGCCATTTGATGTCGTTACCTAACCCCTACAGCACAAGGATAGATTGGTAGAGTATCGCTTGCCTGCCTGTAACGAATGTCACTGGTTCAGTTCTGGTCAATTCAGGTGTTCTTCATACTTTTTGCCTCCTTTTCAACCTCATCAACTAGATGAAATTTTGCGCAAAATAGTATTGATTAATCCTGCATCCAACCCCCACATCTTGTATGTATTGAAGAATTTGGTTTTGCCTTACACAAGCTTGCAATGGAACACGGATTTGCTTTACGGTTTTTTTCTTCACAGATGAGACTTGTCGCGTACCTCCACCTCCTGAGAACGGCATTATCCACTCTACCGGGAAGTACATGAATGCCGGCGAGTCGATATTCTACTCGTGCCAATGTGGCTACCGTCTGAAAGGAAGTCAGCAGCGTAACTGCAGCAATGGAATTTTCGTTCCAGAGGAGCCTAACTGTGAAAGTAAGAAAAAAAAACAGAAAAAAGTGTTGCATGTTATTGTACATGGACTGCCGTGAGTGTGTGCTAGTGTCCATTGTGCTGATCACTGTGCATGAGACCACACTTTAAAGCAGGCAAAAGAGTATGGATCTTGCAGTAAAGGCAGATTTGACGTTTATCCCGTTGAGATGGAAATATATGTATATTGATGTTCATTCAGGGCCTAACTTCGAGAGCTGCATTCGCCATAGAGTACATGATTGTACAGTCAACTTTGCGTATGACGACACTCGGCGGGGCATCAGAAAAGTGTCCATATTCGCGAAGTTTGGTTATACCCGAAGTCTCATTATAATTATGTGTTACAGTTAGGTGGGACTTTGCTCTGGGCATGGAAATTCTGTCGCTATTCGCGAATTGCCGTTATATCCGCAGTCGTTATTAGCGAAGTTGACTGTACTGGTAATTGAGACCAGTTTGTTTTGAATACATAACTTGATAAATGATACTTGAGCAGCATACTCTTCTTTGGGGTGCTGATAGACTGTCTGCTTTGACTGCAATATGTGTAGGGGTGATCTGCAAGCCACGGTTTTCACCAGTGAATGGCAAAATCGAGGGGAACAGCTCCGCTGTCCACTATTACGGTGCATGGTATCCGATCTGGGAAGCCGAGGAGATTGCCTACTACGCGTGTGATAACGGCAGCAAGCTGGTCGGTTCCGCGTTTGCCGTCTGCTTTTCCAGCGGCACGTGGAGTCATCCCGCGCCCACCTGTCTGTCGGTTGAGGATACGCTGGTCATTAGAGGTGCGCTGGCATGCAAAGTCCAGTACATGTACACATGATTGTGTTACTATTTACTACAGTGTTCTAGTCTGTTCGGCATGAGGGACTTTTGTAGCAAACACTTCAGTTCAAAACCAGCCAGTGGTGGTCCAATCCAATTTTTACATAGGCTCATGCTGGCTACTACATTTGCTGGTTGGGTCTTTCGTACAAGAAGCGAGGTGCTTGATGGTATGAGTGAGTGATTGAGATGACTGCTATTGCCATTAGATTGCTATTAGATTGCTATTATACTGTAATCTTATCCATTTTAGTAACCATAGTTCCCATAGCCATGTTTCACTGTTTAATCCTTTCAAGATGGATGCTGTCCAGAGTACTGCTGTCCACACGAGAACTGCTGTCGGCTTTCTAATGGCTCAAGTCCATGTATTTGTTTTGGTTTTCAGGTTTGACTGAGCCAGAAATCGAAGATTCGGATGCGCCCTCTGCTGAGCTGGTTGCTAGAGACAGAACGTTTCGTATGCCGTGTGTGGTTACTGGCAACCCTCGCCCTGAGGTATCATGGGTGAGGCTGGATGGAGGTGCCTCGCCAGTGGACAGTGACCGGGCAGTGCAACTCGCCGACAACACACTGATGTTCTTCTCGTTTGGCAGCGAGGACATTGGAAAGTACCGATGTACGGCAACGAATGGAATCGGCAGCAGCGCTGCAAAGACCGCTGTTCTACAAATGTCTGGTACGACGTTTAAAAAAAAGCTATTTGCTTTGAGGTTTCTTGATTTTTCTGTATCCCTGTGTGTGCACTGAGTAGGCAGTAATGGCTACATGCCTGCGATAACCCATAGCACATGCGCATACCCAACATACTTGTTGTTTCGCCATATCAGTACTTCCAGGCAGTTACTGACTTGCATAGATAGACATATTATGACATAAGAATGACAAGATCACCATGGGAGAGGAAACTGTTGTCGCTTCATCGCTTACCGTTTACATGCTAACTCGATCATCGGAGTATAAGCCACACCCCTGGGTGAGTTTTAGGTGAATTTTCAGTGTTCAAAAGTTCGGCTTATACTCCGTAAATATGGTAGGTGGATAATGAAAGTATGTATACACTTGTGCTGCTCAAAATTAATGGTCCCATTATCATTACCAGGACTAGTATTGTGTCTGTGTTTCATTGCCCTTTGCTCCGTCCCCCCCCCCCCCCCCGTGCAGAATCGCCCGTGATAGATGCCGCGTCATCCAACGTGTTCCACAGCGTGGGAAGCCGTGCCGTGATGCGCTGTGACGTCATTCGAGGCAGTCCTCCACCAATCATCACATGGCACTTTTCCGGTGGCACGGACAATAGTCACTGGAGAATCACTGGCGATTCGAGCTTCAGTGAACTGGTCATCGAAAGTGTTGCCCATTCGGATGCTGGCAATTATGACTGCAGGGCGACCAATCAAGCGGGTGGTCACGAAGTCACCAACTCTTCTTCAATCAGCCTGCATGTTGAATGTGAGTCTTGCGTAGGTTTGGAGCCGATGGCACGTACTCCGTCAATTTGCATGGCATGCAGAACATTGGGTAGGGAATGTGTTGAACACGTAACGACACCCAAAGTGGTCACTGCAGTACAATGTTGACATCTAACGTTACATTGGGTGTCCAAAGCTGGTTTTCACAGGTTTGATCACAAGCATCTTCACCCTAAATTGCACTCACCCCCATTGCAAAAATACTTCATGTGCTAGAAGAAGACGATGTTGAATGCTCCTATGTGAAGCACACGTTTCCTGCCAAATACTTGACACTTCACTGACTGCGTGAGCTCCATGCATGTAGGAGCAAACAACTTTGGCCACCATCATCTCCCAAAGTTGCTACTTCTCAGTGTTAAAAATGTGCTTCAAGAAAAGTAAACTTGAGAACTATCAACAGATCATAAAATGGCTAAGAGCCAACTTATCAGAAATGTCCAACGGAAGAGAATCAAGAGATAGGAAGCAGTATTTCAAATGCATTTAGTAATCATTCGAAATCTCGTCAGATGTAGCATGTCATTTCTCCTCTAATGACCAAACTGGCCATGGGTCATAATAATCAGCTTGGCAGAAGTGTAACTGATTCTGCCTGTGCACACGTTGTTGCCCCACTTCAGCTTGCCCCATTGAAGGATCACGAGCCTTTATCGTAGGTGGACACGACATTCCGATTGCAAATGCCAGCTGGCAAGCGGTGCTGTGGAACAATTCTGCTGCGACCAGACAGAATATCCTCTGCGGTGCCGTGATAATCAGGCGTGGCTACCTGCTCACGGCAGCGCACTGTGTACAGAACATCACCGATGAAGATGGGCTAGTGCCATCGCATTATGTGATGAAGATGGGTAAGGGCAGGGCTCGTGAGCAGGTTTCCGATGTCACTCGAGCCATCCAGCGTGTGTTCATCCATCCCAACTACAACCCAACAACATTAGATAATGACATTGCGCTCATTGCCTTGAATAGTGACATCAACTACATCCCTGGAAGAGTCGCAGCAATCGACTTAGCAAGGACACGAACAAATGACCTTTGCAATGAGCGGGAAGACTCCATCCTCCTGCTTACTGGCTTCGGTCGAAAGTCTTTCTTCCGCCACACCGGAACGAAGAATCTGAAGTCCATTGAGCTTCCCATTGTCACGCAGTCTGATTGTGCAGATGCCTTCCCTTACCCTGTCACCGGCAACATGATTTGTGCTGGCTTTGGTCAAGGGCAGAGGGACGCATGCCACGGGGACTCTGGTGGACCTGCAGCGGCATACAACATCCTCACGCGAAAGTGGAACCTGATCGGCCTGATTAGCTGGGGAGACCCGCGGTGCGCCACTGCTGGTACGTACACCGTGCTCGTTCGAGTGTCGCGCTTCGAGCCCTGGATCAAGCAAACACTGCGAGGCCACAAGAAGCAGCTGGCATCGTGCCCGCCATAGAGTGTGTTAGTTGATTTCCGAGTGCACTAGAGAGATCAGCCCCTGCATAGTGCGCTGATTTCAGTCTTCAGCTTGGTCGTGTGCATGCCACTGGTCAGTTTTGATCAGTCTCGTTTCACCGGATATCCCCACTCTCAGCCTTGACTTTCCTGTCCTGGATATACATGTAGGGCGTTCCGTTATGTTGGAACACATCTATCAGATCTCTTGTATAATGTCTGTAGTGTTAGCACTGGCAATTGGGCGTTGTGCTGTTTTGCCACTAGCTATGAGTACCTCAATTGATTTGAGGCCCGGTTAATGGCAGCACGCTCTGCTTAGCAACAGTAATCATCTGCAGACGTTTCCTTTTTCACCTCTCTAAAACGAATGAATATCTGGAATCCGTTTTGGATTTTCACATCTTTTGAACTTTTATAAGTCCCCGTCATGCAAAGTACATGTACTAGTGGTAGCTTCAATGATCCATAGCGGATCCACATCTTGCTCTTGATATTGTTTGTTGCAGCTAACTCGTTCATTGAGATCGTGGGGGCAGTGTCCGTGTTGAGCATGTCACTGATACTGTGATAGACAGAACTGGTGCAGGGCGCTAAAAGTTGACTAAGGTGACACGATCGGATTTCATTGATCAGTACTGTGCACATGGTACATGGTCGATTGAAGTAGGGGAGTCCCCGGACACTTGCTAATCCTAAAATTACTGCACTGAACAACATCCAATGTGACAACTTACTTTCAAGACTAGGCCGGTACATCACCATGATAATGTCTATTCAATTTCGTTTATGATAATCACCACAAGCCTTCAGAACTGAGAAGGCAGCCGCACAGTTATCATGGTTACGGCAGTGGTGGTGAGATCTAAAAGTATACAATAGAGTAATAAAATACACCCATGACGTCATGTATAGTATTTCGTACTGTTGGCCATTACAGCCACCATGATTTCGACTGTGTGCGAGGTGAACTGATCAGGATGTGATTTCTAAAAAAAATAGTCCGAGGGCTTATTATTAGTAGAGCTGCTATAGTGTTTCGGTGAGTGTACTAGTACTTAGTACAATAGTAGCAAGAGTACATAACTGTGTAGTTATGTACTCTTGATAGTAGTTATCTAAACTGGCAACAATAATGAAATTTTCATCGACTCGTTACCGTGGCGTTGGTACAATGTCCGCCGATCACATTATTCTGTGTCTGCACATATACATAATATACACACACATGTTTGTTTAAACAGTAGTTTGGAGGCGGTGGGAAAACAGTTTCGCAATAAGTAGACACTTCTTCTCGCTCCACATATACTGGCATACACAGAGACATAGACAGCAATAGCGACAACACACAAAGTGAAGGGTAGTTGGCCGCAGCCAGATGTGACTGAAGGGTAGTTGGCCACAGCCAGATGTGAACCGGATAACGAGTGAGGTATGGAAGCAAGCAAGGACTGAGAACAGAGTGTCTCAGATAGAATAGTCGTGCCAGTGGATAGCAGAAATAGGCCATGATGCAGAACCACTTGGGACCGTCAGATTAATTTTCCTGGACCGAGCCAGCCGGGAAAAAACCCTCTCGCCGACGGACGCATTTGTGAGGGAAAAAACCGGGTGTATATCCCCAATGGCGATTAGGCATCATATAGGCATGGCAAGCACATCACGGCAAACAGTGATAAAAAGCATTGATAATATGCACAGAAATAAAGGGTGGGAGGGCAGGGACACTGGTGAGACTCAAAACTGACTGAAGAAGTCAGGAAAAGAAGCGACAACAAAGAACACACCAGATGCCATATTTGCAACTGAAAATATTTCGCGAGAAATACAACTTTTCTATCAAACGTTTTCTTTCCCTTCTCAGGCTTCAGGATAGTACAGGGAATGTTGTAAATTTGAAAAACACATAACTATATAGAGAATGAAAGAAAGAAAAAAGTCAACACTTCAACATAGGTGTTAAAATGATTAGAGTGTTAAAAACTCAAAAACAAACAGCTGCAAGTTGTAGACAAACACGTTGAACACATCAGGGAACACTGGAATCGTGGAAGATCTAAGTTACATCTTGCTGTGTTAGAAGCTCTGTATATTCGTAAACTAGATCCAGAACTATGTGTACAGAAGGAGAATGTGTTATCGTTGCAGTTGTTTGGTGTCACACCTCGTGAAAGTGTGACAAGTGTTCCCTGATGTGTTCAACGTGTTTGTCTACAACTTGCAGCTGTTTGTTTTTGAGTTTTTAACACTTCAATCATTTTAACACCTATGTTGAAGTGTTGACTTTTTTCTTTCTTTCATTCTCTATATAGTTATGTGTTTTTCAAATTTACAACATTCCCTGTACTATCCTGAAGAGAAGGGAAAGAAAACGTTTGATAGAAAAGAAGTGTCTACTGAATTGTGTGGATTTGCGTCGTTACATGCGAATACTTATTACGAAACATGTTTGTTTGGGGTTTTTTGTTTTTTTTTACTGAATACCACAGAACCATCAGATGCTGCACAGCGGGGGCGGTGGCATATTGGATGGAAGTGGGGGCGGGGCAAAAGTAACTCCTCCGACCAAAGGTCTCGGAATCATCGTTACTCCTGTGCGCCGACACATACATGTAGGATAAAAGAAACATGTGCATCCAAGAGGGAAGCACCGGCTTTGCAAACGATAATGGGGAGAATGTAAGATTGAGATAGGACAAAACAATAGTAAAAGCAGTGCACCGTAGGAACATGGAGAGAACTGATAATCGAATATTAAGGCTGAGCGAAGGGGATCAAAGAGGGGTAGAAGGGAGTTGGAGTGCGGTCAGTATAATTAGGCTGGTGTGTTGGCTGCGATGGAGAGATCATAGCCTGTCTGTGGCCCACTCCCACTTGCTGCGCCGCAAGTGGTCGTTGACATTTTTCTTGAAGGTGTGAATACCTCTGCGAGAAGGGGGAGACTGCAGAAGGGTAGGTGGGAGCTGATTCCACGTTGCGATGAGGGAGTGAGGAAATGAGCGGAGCGTGTTGTTTCGTGACTGAGGAGGAAGGATACTGGTGAGTTGTGATGAATGATGTGCTGCAGATCTCGTTGTCTCACGAGTAGACATGCGGCATTGCGGTGCGGCTGCTGATGGTGACAGAATGGCTTTCACCATTTCCGGACCCTCCACAAAGTGCAGCTTGTACAGAAAGCAGAGCCCTGCTACGGGACGGCGAATGTCGAGGCTCGGGACGTATGATCCATCTCCAATTACGTGCAGGGCACGCGCTGGATGGCAGTGAGGCGGGCCAAGGTGGTGGGGGCTGCGCTCATCCACACCAGCATGCCATACTCTAACACAGGGCGGACAAAGCCACGGTACACGATTGCCCGGTGCTTTGGGTCTAGCACAGTCGATGCCTTACGGAGGAAGCCGAGCCGCTGGGCTCCGCATACTGCAGGCTGTCGGATATGGCTGCGGAATGCCAGCTGCCTGTCGAAGATGACGCCAAGAAGCTTGAGCTCCTCTACTTCTGGCACGACTGCTCCTTGGAAGCGTATTGCGTATCGGGGGGGGGGGGGGGGGGGGGGGGGGTTGGCGAGCGGTGGTGGCTGATGGTCAATGCCTGCGACTTTGTGGACTCGTACCTGATCCTCCACCTGCTTCCCCATGCTGCCAGTGAGTCTACTGCCTGCTGGAGGATTGCGGTCTCTTCTGGCAGTCTGAGTCGGGTGGTGATGCACTTGGAGAGAGTTGTGTCGTCGGCGTATACAGCCAGCTTCGCCCCATCAGGCAGGTGGTCTTCTGCGTCGTTGACGTACAGAAGGAAGAGGGTGGGGCCGAGGATGCTGCACGCCAGATTGGATTCGGTGGGTCGGTGAAGACTGGCCGCCTATGATGACACGGATGTGGCGGTCTGTCAGGTAACTCCGGAGCCAGGCAAGGAGGGGGCCACTTATGCCGCACCGCTCAGCCTTGTGGAAGACGCCGTTGTGCGAGACCTTGTCGATGTATACGGTCGTGGCTTCACTTCTTCACCTCATGGTGAAGCTTCATTATTATTATTACCAAGAGAACATAACCCCCGGCTTATACTCTTGTTATTATGAGTTTATGACACAAGTCTTCGGGGTACGTTTTGGGTTTTAATAATGATTGTGCGGATGCAGAGCAGGAGATTGAAACTGAGCTGATGTTTTGCCTTTTGGCGTGCTGTCAGTGTCACTACTCACACCACCATTATCGGGTGTCCATGTTATGGTGGACACGGATAAGCCGTTGTCGTTGATACGTGTACTGTACGTACATGTAGATCTACAGTCAGTAGACAGCATACCGATTACCGGTATCAGCGCATTGCATTGCTGACATACCGCAGCTTACGCCAAGCGATAGGTGCCGGCGGTGTGGCTGATCGAAACCCAGCAAGAGTCTGCCTAGGCCAGAGAGCAGAGCGACCACCGCGAATCAGGATTCTGTAACTGGTGATGATCGACATCCTGCCCCCCCCCCCCCCCCCCCACTGATAATGTTATTATCCAACTGAACATAAAGGGATTACATGTACATGCACTACGTTCTTCAAACTGGAGAAAGGTCTACCTACCTCCTTGCTTGGTGGCAGACAAGTAAAGTAAATAAAATCATTCTTGAACTCGGATGGTGAGCCAATATAGTTATGATGAAGAACGTAGCATTTTGTCCTTTTCCTTTCTTCATCAAAATCATTCTTCCCAAATTTAAATCTGTCTTTAGCCACGGTCTCTCTTCATGTTCCGAAATGCTAATACCGGTATACGGAACTCTTTACTCCCCCCAGTCTAACATCGGAAGCCTCGCTCTATGTCACAAGCTGCCCTCAGGAAATTTAAAACCATGCTTATGCAATCAACGGAATTCCGCCACCTTGCAGTTGATTTTTCCCGTTTCTCTCCTCATCAAGCCTACTTGCCTTTGTACATACATCGCAGTACATGTACTAGTAGTAGTACTGTTCTTTCAATCAAATGAACCCCTCGATAGGCACATTGCCTTTGGGTCATTTCATAATATTATAATACTAATAAAGCGCCAACGGCTAGAAAGCAGGGCTTGATTGTAAGCTTGACGCCCAACGCCGGGGTCATCCCTTTCACGCAGACGTAGACCACAGATCATATTGGCGAATCACATGCGCATTGCGCTGCCACGGTTTGTCGTGTAATTTTATTCACTTCATGTCCAACACTGGCAACAGTGCAACACGACCACGTGAAGAAGGCATTTGGATTTTGAGGATTGTGGAAAACATGTAATGAGGTACACATGGTACATGTACTAGTAGTACAGTCAGTATCGTGCAGATGTACTAGAATTGTCACGTTATGTGTTTGTGTTTAGTATTATGCACATAATGTACGTCTCATTTTGTCATCAACTCTTTTGTGAGACTCGAGTGGCCACTCACTGGCACTCAGTTGAGCAAACATCAGATTCTCCACTTCTGCGATACTGTATCTACTACTACTAGGTAGTACTAGTACTACAGCGAACAGTCTGAGTTTAGCCTAGCGTAGAGTCTGAGTGACATGAGTCCCAGCTACTTCAGTACAGTATAGTATGATTGTCCTGAAAATAGGGATGCAGTGTTTTCCATACCGGCAGCCTAGCCGGTCAACTGGAATACTATTACTAGTAAGTTAGTAGATCTGACCTGAGTTCAGACCTCTGTTATGTTCTCTCCTGTACGCTGTACTTGTAGAGAGTTGGTAGTCAGCCAACACTGCAACACTCGACAGTCGTGCGTGGATATCTGGTGCGGATGTCATCGGCCTGGTGCTGCAGCAGCACTTGCCCTGGGAATGATATGACTGGAATCAGCGCTGTTGAGTGTTCTTGCGCCTGAGTAGAACAGTCGTTGCTGAGCCAGTCCTCTTACTCGAGGGCCCTCACTGTCTGTGCAGTACAATCAGTCATGTACTTCCATGCACTAGCGGTAATGTTCGACTACTCGTAATATCCGCTGGTTGCCCTTCCTGGGATCTGGTTGTGACCAGTTTTGAGAGTTCTAAACTAACATAGGCCGAACGTTCCTTTCGTGACGGATGCAGTGCACTAGTGACCGTGATACAGTGCAGGACTGTTCCGGAAGTTCTTCCGCTGGCGGAGCTGAGGCCTAGGGGCCGGGGGTCGTTGGGAACTGTTACTTGTGCGGAAAGCAGAAGACTGAAGTGCCACCCGTGATGTTCGCTGTCAGGTTTCTGCTCGCACTAATGAAGGTACATGTACCGGTACACGCATTATACTGAGTTTTGACTTGCGTGCCGCCCGCTGTTTCCGTCAAACAGCTGGATAGGACGGTGCAAATCGTCCACGTTCCCTGTTGTGGTTTATAATAATAATAATATGACTGTCAATTATTTTATTATCGTGGCACCTGCTTGAAAGCCCAAGTCTAATGAAACGGCGGATGAACAGGCATAGCGGCATCAGTAGGCGTCTTACTTACTCTTACTTACTGTTACTTATGGACATGTTGATAGTAAAACAAGCACTACTACGAGTGGCTTCGGGTGCTATCGTAATTATTTTCGCTATTGTGTTCACTGAAATGTGTTGTCACAGGCAATGGCTAGATGTGTGTTATGGAGTAACTACAATAATCACTACATGGTTCTAACATGCTCCGTGCCTGCTGAGAAATGCCCACCATGTACCATGGCACTGCAGCCTAGACTCGCATTTCGAACTCCAGTCAGTCCGCACAGAAAGCCATAAATAATTCGTGATCATTGAATTATGCGCAGGAGAGGGCTTCACTTATAACTCTGCAGTTAGAGTTACCCCCCCCCCCCCCCCTCCCCCATTCCGCTTGGAAGAATGCTGGAACCGATGTCTAAGTGTAGTTTTAAACATCATGCTGAATCGAATGGGCCTAGATTAGCGTGAAGTGAACCAGTGCCGAGTAGTTGAATTCTGGTATTAGGCGACACTTGGAGTTGCTGGAGAATGCAAGCTGAGCTTCTCGAATTTACTAGTGCTGATTTTGCATCTGCATACACCACTAGTAATTCCTTCATGTGGAATATAGCTGCTTGGAGACTGATACAGAACCTATGGCCGACTTTTATTTTGATGTAGTTGGGATATCTGTCAGTTCAGGGCACCATACACTATAGCAGTTTCATGTGCAGTTGTGACCAAAGAAATCCAACCCACGTGCCGAAAGCAGCGCCAGGCAGGGCTCATGCGGCACTCCGATCAGTTTTAGGAACATGCATGATGCAATTGAAATGGAAACGCGGCGCGCGGGTCGGATTTCCTAGGCCACGACGGTAGTTTCCTTTCTGTATGTTCTGCACAACGTGTGCCACTCATGGGTGGTACTTTACCAGTGTTGAAGATGTACACATGGAAGTTTGGTTTGGTCCCCGGCTGGGAGGCCTAGTGCAGTCACTTGGTTTTGTGCGTCAACAGTGCAAACTGCAAAGTACACTAATATCAAGAGGGTGGCATGAGAAGAGAAAAGGTAAAACAGAGCATAACCGGAGCATGTGACAAGAGGAAAGGAAAAAAGAGGGGGATGTGGACTGGACGGATTTATGAACCAGTAATAGTGGGTCAGGACTCAGGACATGACCAGAAGTGAAAATTTGTCGGTAGACTTGTCCTTGAAAGTTGAATAGTGGAAGAAGCCGATAGATGTTGAGTGACGACGTCAAAAGTCAATAAATAACAACTTCTGGGTCAAATTGGATCCACTCCAACCATAGTAAAATAGGTATAGCATCTGATGGAGAGGCCCCTCATGTTGCATGCTGGTGTGAAAGTTGTGCTACCAGTGGTGGGTCCCCACCAGCTGGGAGGCCTAGTGCAGTCACCACAGGTGGATATGTCACCCAAGTATGAAGGAAACCGCCCTAATAAGTATGTGACTAGTATGTGCCCATACAATATCTGGACCCATGTTGATCGGAGACTCAGTGTCACCATAACTCCGGCGGCCGCACTGTGATGTGGCACTTTCAAGCCCCATGGACGCCTTTCAGCTCTTGGTATACACGAACTTGTGGATACCAGATTGTATGTATGGGTTTGGGCTAAATAGTTATCATCACTGCTCCATGGTTCCGGGGAAGTCACGTTCCCCATGCGGCCCCGGTGGTTTATCAAAATTCACTGGAAATGCCGATCATTATAACTTAATATAAGGCTTTCCATAGAACTCTTGCAAGTATTAAAGGAAGATGCGATATGTTTGCGCTGACTAAGTGTACAGTTGAGGTGCATGACAGATTTTCTGCCATCTATTGGGCATATTAGCCTGCATTGCCATAGCTAATAGTTATGGGGAACTTGATGGTGTATAGTGAACTTGCATGCCTGTTGGAATACCACCAGGGTAACGGGCGGATATGGAGGTGTTGGTAGTGGGTGTGATCATGTACACCTGGGCCTGTCGTTGTGAGCATCACACCGTATCTGAGAGCAAGTGGCTGGGAATGAGCGGTCCCGATTCTCTGGAAGAAGAGGTTATAAATTATGTAGTAATCTCTGGCAGCAATCTTGAGATAGATCCATAGCACAATGAACACTTGCTTCTTCGAAGTAGATGTGCAAAATAATTGTCTGTGGAAACTCTCTCAATCAGCTACACACCCATATACGTCGTATCAAGAGTACATAACCCCCCAGAGTGTGCAACGCCGATCCAGCTCTGTGTAGGGTCTTGGTCGAGCGGAATCGGATCTTCTGATGTCATGCGTACACTTCACACCAGCGGAAGGCCGGTCTCGAGGCAGGGCACCATTGTTTTTGATCCAAGAGTACCCGCGACTCCCCGGGTTCCCCTCAGATGTGTACGGTATTATGACGCAAAGATCCGATTCCGCTCGACCAAGACCCTACACAGAGCTGGATCAGGCGTTGCACACTCTGGGGGGTTATGTACTCTTGGTCGTATTGGTAGTCTTTGAACTGAGCCATCTTAGGGCCATGATGTAATTTTCTCGCAATCTCAGATTCACGATGCCATTCGTTGACGATACAGTGTCCTTTCACACGTCTCTGTTTTCAGTAGTACCAAAAGGCCATGCCATGTTGCCAATAGATTTTGATCATGAAGCGTTGCATCTTTGTTCGCAGTACCAGTACAAGTGCAATGTACCTCTTCGAAGTGTCTCCTCAATGGAGGATCTGCACACATCCTTCAAGGTACCGTATTGCAGGCTGGCGTTGGCCCATGGGAGGACTACTGAGTAGTACCCCCCCCCCCCCAACACCCAACACCCAACACCCAACACCCAACACCCAACACCCAACACCCAACACCCAACACCCAACACCCAACACCCAACACCCAACACCCAACACCCAACACCCAACACCCAACACCCAACACCCAACACCCAACACCCAACACCCAACACCCAACACCCAACACCCAACACCCAACACCCAACACCCAACACCCAACACCCAACACCCAACACCCAACACCCAACACCCAACACCCAACACCCAACACCCAACACCCAACACCCAACACACAACACACAACACCCAACACCCTCCTGAAGGTCTTATCACCACAGTAGTGTATTCAATGATCACTGGCACAGGAGTGACAGGACACATGTAGAAGGGCATGCTTGGTAATGCTCCATACTTCATGCGGTGTGTACGGCTCATCACGTGTGCAAGAATAGACTCGGATGGAAATCCGAGGATAAATGTAAAGAAAAGAAAAAGGACCAAGGCACTTCAAGTTACGCTATAATGTCCACTAACACCACCAGCTACTAAACAATCAGCTCATGCGATAACATTGCGCAACACTGACCGTCTGTACTGACGTTCTGCAACTAGCTGGCTATCAGCTCAAGCACATATTGGATACGCACTCCAACAGCCTTCTAACTTGGAAGGTTCTATAAGTTATATGATAAAATAGGAGGGGAAGGTGAGTACAGCCAAGACAAGCACAAGCTGAAAGTCTCAGCCAGTGTGAAGGACGTTGGCAGGTGTACATGCATGTCGATGACGATACTGGCAAGACCATTGGACAATACGGTCAAACCACGATTCAAGGACGCAAAGCAGCATTTCACAATTTGTGCGGCTCAAAAATGCGAAGATCAATAAAAGGGATGTTATCGCATGAGCTGATTGTTACTGGTGGTGGTTTTGCATGGACCTTATAGCGTAACTTGTGGTTCCTTGGTCCATTTTTTTCTTCTTTTCTATACACTTCATGCGGTGTGTGCATTTCTCTTTCTCTTTTTCTTACTGCAGGCTCGATCAGATATCCATTCAATGTGGCTTTCCATGGGCATCATCGTTGTAACTTTGCTATCCCATGGCAGCGTAGCCCAAGATGCTTCGGGGTCTGACTGTGACATGGTCTGCACAGTCGTAGTTCTGTCTGGTACTATGGCAAACTGCTCCGCTAGTCAGTGCACACAACCAAGTCCATCTAACGTTACAGATCACTGTTCTGAAGATCGAATTGTCACACTGTACGTGCAAATAGACTACTGTATGCAATGTACTCTGCATTGGCTGCTCTGTGTTCAGTTTACCATCTGAAATACTTGATCGGTATGTGGACCCCCCCCCCCCCCACCACATACACACAGTGTATATCCCCAGTTAGGGGAGTGGAGAGGGTTATGGTGTTATTCCTTCGCGGTAATTTCTTTCATGTTTGCAAGTAAGTGCCAGAGGCATAGGAAGCGGAGGGAGGGGGGGGGGGGGGAGGGGCAGATAGGGCAGAAAATCGGTGAACCTGCATGTTTGCTAGCGAAAGTGAGAAGCATGCAAATCAACCAGTACATGCACTCAGATTGATCGTAGTCCGAGCTGACCCTCGGAATGCAGTAGTTTCGGTTAGATGTACAACCATGTAACATTACTTGACAAACAATCATGTAACATTACTTGACAAACAATCATGTAACATTACTTGACAAGCCCAGACAGTTTCGAGATTGTAACAAGATACAGGAAATGTGTGTGTGTGTGTGTGTGTGTGTGTGTGTGTGTGTGTGTGTGTGTGTGTGTGTGTGTGTGTGTGTGTGTGTGTGTGTGTGTGTGTGTGTGTGTGTGTGTGTGTGTGTGTGTGTGTGTGTGTGTGTGTGTGTGTGTGTGTGTGTGTGTGTGTGTGTGTGTGTGTGTGTGTGTGTGTGTGTGTGTGTGTGTGTGTGTGTGTGTGTGTGTGTGTGTGTGTGTGTGTGTGTGTGTGTGTGTGTGTGTGTGTGTGTGTGTGTGTGTGTGTGTGTGTGTGTGTGTGTGTGTGTGCTACCGGTGTGAAACACAGTAATGAGTCACCAGATCATCGCTTAGCTTACTGCCCTGGTTGCCACCAGCTCAGTGTTGCACAAGGGAACTCAGTGCCCTGGTCTCCACCAGCTTGCTCTTGATGTTTCTCATGCTCGCGGTGGATCTGAGCATAGAGCTGAAGAGACCCTTCTTGCCTCAGCGCCAACAGGCCGTCTCATTCCAGGGCAGTTCTTCCGACCCAGAGCGTAACTTTGACCACAGAAGCCGGCACCGTGTGTCACCTTGCTGGATGCTGTACAGGAGCGGTCCATCATGAATGTGTTCTGTTGTTTCTGCTGTTTCTGCTGCCGCCGCTGCTGCTGCTGCTGTTTCTGCTGTTGCTGCTGTTGCTGTTTCTGCTGTTGCTGCTGTTGCTGTTTCTGATCCCATCATGCCTTACAGCGAAACTGGTGAAGTTGAAGACGTTGGTTTGGAAGTTTCCTATACTGATGAGATGTAAGTTACCATCCGTTGGGGGTGCGGCGTCCTATCACAGCAGAGTACTTCTGTAACTGGCATTGCACTGCATTGCTCTCTAAGTGTGTTGAGCTCTTCTGCATGCTAGTGCCATAATGCTCAAGTGTGAGCATGATGACTAATACACTTCCCCATTTGGTGCTTATGTACTGTAGGAATGACACGATCATGATAACACTGACTCTTGGTGGAAGGTGAGTACAGTACACTGTACTAGTATCTACTTCATCGGATACTTCCTATGAGATGTGTGTATTGGCTCAAATACGCTTTTAAAAGGGGAAGTGCATTGTTTCTTCAAGTAGGGCTCAGATGAAAGACAATTCGATATCGGTTTGAATGGCATATCTCTCGCATGCATACGATAAGCCAAACTGGCCAAATCGCCAATTGTATGATCCACGTTTCCATGGCGACTACAGGTGATGAAGCACATTCTGCTTAGCTCCATGAGAGAGAAGGTCGATCACTGCAGAATTTGTTCATTTTCAACTGTCTTATTGTATTCATGGTGGGAAAGAAGGGCTGCGTTAAATGCCGCTAGTGCCGTGACCTGTTTATTTCTACTGTATTAGTAGTCCTCTTCGTTGTGTACTGGGACGTGACACCGACAGAAGATAGCTGGAGTGCGGAGGCATCAGCATACAGCGAAAATAGTGACAAACCTAGTGCTGAAATCGTGGCTGGGACAAATCAGACGTTCAGCATTTACCCCCACCACCAAGGACCATGCAGTTTGCTCTTTCCACTTCCTGAAGATAGATGTGATGCTTGCTGGCGACTCTCCTATCTCTCGTAACATCTTCTGAAGCCAGGTGAGACGACGGGTGGTGGAGATTGAGGAACGAAACAATGTCGTACTTTGAAGTGCTTTTTTGAAAGTTTGCCGAAAATGTCTCAGGAGAGATGGCGAATACCACACATCTTATCCTAGAGAAACCACTTTCTAGGCTACAGTCAGCCTAGGGAAATGCAGGAGAAGGCCGATGAACAGTTCCCGGCACTAACAGCATTGAACACAGCACTTCTTTCACATCGTCAATACAATAAGACATTTGAAAATGACCAAATTCTGCAGTGATCGACCTTCTCTCTCACGGAGCTAAGCAGAACGTGCGTCATCACTGAGTCAGTCACTATGGCAACGTGGATAATACAATAATTTGGAAAGTTTGGCTTATCGTATGAAACCGAGAGATATGCCATTCGAACCGATATCAACTTGTCTTTCATGTGAGCCCTACTTGAAAAATCGCTGCACTTCCCCTTTAACCATAAAAGCTTGACATGATACTATCATGTAACTGTGTGAC